TACTCTGAAAGTAAATTCTAAAATCATTTTTCAGGACATTCAGTGACATCTCTTTGCAACAACTTGCCCTCTTCTAGAAAATTTCACTTTTGTTATTGTTCAGTCACTAAGTCTTGGCTAACCCTTTGTGACCCCATGAACTGCAGCACTGCAGCCTTGCCTGTCCTTTGCCATCTCCCTGAGTTTGCTCAAATTCATGTCCTTTGAGTCGATGATGCCATCCAACCTTCTCCTCCTGCCTTCAGTCTTTCCAGCATAAGGGTCTTTTCCAGTGAGTCACTTCTTTGCATCAGGTGGCCAAAGTATTGGAGCTTCAGCATCAGTCCTTCCAATGGATATTCAGGGTTGATTGCCTTTATGCTTGACTGATTTGATCTCCTTGCTGTCCATGGGACTTTGAGAAGTCTTCTCCAGTGCCACAGTTTGAAAAGATTTCTTCGGTGCTCAGCCTTCTTTATGGTCCAACTCTCGCATCCATACATGACCACTGGAAAAACCCTTTGTCAGTGCAGTGATGGCTCTGCTTTTTAATAAGCTGTCTAGGTTTGTCATAGGTTTTCTTCCAAGGAGCAAACATCTTTTAATTTCATGGCTGCAGTTCCATCTGCCATGATTTTAGAGCCCAAGAAAATAAAATCGGTCACTGTTTCTACTTTTTCTCCATCTATTTGCCATGAAGTGATGGGACTGGATGCCATGATCTTCATTTTTTGGATAGTGAGTTTTAAGCCAGCTTTTTCACTCTGCTGTTTCACCCTTATCAAAAAGCTCTTTAGTTCCTCTTCACTCTCTGCCATTAAAGTGGTACATTTGCACATCTGAGGTTGTTGATATTTCTCCCTGCGGTCTTGATTCTAACTTGTGCTTCATCCAGCCAAGCATTTCACATGATGTACTCTGCACAGAAGTTAAATAAGCAGGGTGGCAATATACAGCCTTGATGTACTCCTTTCCCAATTTTGAACCAGTCCATTGTTCCGTGTCTGGTTCTCACTGTTGCGTCTTGACCTGCACACAGGTTTCTCAGGAGGCAGGTGAGGTGGTTTGGTATTCCTCTCTTGAAGACTTTTCCCCAGTTTGCTGTGTTCCACACTGTCAGAGGCTGTCTCATTAGCACTTCACCCAGTGCTGCAGGCATTTCACAAAAGGCACTGAAGCCTCAGTTGCTGTGAGTGACACAGAGGTGCCCAGATGTGTGGGTGTGTTTGTGGAAGCCAACCTAACCAGTCCATGTAACCTGAGAGCTGGAGAAGCGAGGCCCCAAGTGCACAGAGATGGAGGGTCAGAACTCCAACTGCTCTGAGTGTTCTGAGAGAGGCCCGTGCACGCTGGTGAGCCAGAGCGGCCCCAGCCAGCAGGAGCTGTTCCCGGACCAGCGTCAGCTCCCAGCACAGAGACTGGACAGGGAGGGGCAGCAGCCAGATCGGCTGGAGCTCAGAACCCCCAGCGGAGGGCCTGAATCACGGCCAGGCTGTGACTCTCTGACTCACCCCAGATGTGGAGTTCGGACTTGGTTCTGTTGGTGTGATGAGGGGATGGGAGACGCTGTGAGCAGGATGGTGGTGTGGACCCTGCAGGGGAAGGTTTGGGGAGCATGTCTGACTTTGGCGGGCTCTCCGGACGGGAGCCGAGAGTGGGGAGGCCAGTGCGTAGGTCGTGGCCGTGTCCAGGAGGCCGTGGGCACTGTGTAGCGCTAACAGCAGGGCAAGGAGACCAGCGCGCATGCCTAGGGGGTTCCAGCCTGGCGGGTGCGCGTGTCTCTCTGCCGCTGTTACTGCGGTTGTTGCTCTCGCTCAGTCGTGTCTGACTCTTTGTGACCCCGTGGCCTGCAGCACGCCAGGCTTCCCTGTCCTTCACCATCTCCCGGAGTTTGCTCAAACTCACGTCCATTGAGTCAGTGATGTCATCCAACCATCTCTACAGTAGGGAAGTCAGAAGGCATTGCTGGCTCGGGTGGAAGGTGGCATGTGGCATGGCAGATTGAGTAGAGGGGTTGCCAGCACCTCAGTGGCCGTCCCACGCAGGAGTGGAGGCGGTGGCTGGATGTCATCTGCAGGCCCTCACCTGGTGACACCGAGGCCAGGAGAGTCCACTTAGAATCTCGGCCAGCAGTCAGGGCGAGGCGGGTGATCCCAGACTTCCTTGTTGCTGTCGGTCCAGTTCCCAGTATGTCAGTGATGCTACACCCTGATAAATACCACAACTAGTTTCTGGAGTGAACCAACTCTGGCAAAGTGGGCAAGACTTAAGTTTCACCCAGTCTTCACTACACAAAAATAAATATAGGTAATCACAAGTCAGCATTCACAGTCACGTGACAACTGAAGTTTCTTGTAGCACCCTTGTTCCTGCTAGAGGATTTCTGTACCCGCCCCTCTCTGATGGTCTCTTCGCAGACTTAGAGGAAAGAGAGGAAGGAGGCAAACAGAGCACCCTGGGCTGGTCTTGACCTCGATGCTCACGGGGAGTCTCCACTTCCAGGGATCTCTGAGTTTTGTGAGATGTTTACATTATGCTTTCACTGCAATTAAAATCTCTTAAGAATAAACATCTCATTATTTATAAAAGTAAAATGCTCCTTTTATAGTATCTGATGATGATTATTTTCACATAAGACTTCCCTTTTTTAAGTTACCATTTCTTTGTCTTTAGTTTCCTTGAGCATCTCTGAATCCTTTTCAAAGAGTCCCAAAATTACTCTTAGACAGCCTTAGACAGATCGATACAAACTACAAAAAAGGTCTTAATGACCCAGATAATCACGATGGTGTGTGATCATTCACCTAGAGCCAGGCATCCTGGAATGCGAAGTCAAGTGGGTGTTAGGAAGCATCACTATGAACAAAGCTAGTGGTGGTGATGAAATTCCAGCTCAGCTATTTCAAATCCTAAAAGATGATGCTGTGAAAGTGCTATGCTCAATATGCCAGCAAACTGGGAAAACTCAGCAGTGGCTATAGGACTGGAAAAGATCAGTTTTCATTCCAACCCAAAAGAAAGGCAACACGAAAGAGTGTCCAAAGTAGCACACAGTTGCACTCATCTCACCTGCTAGCAAAGTAATGCTCAAAATTCTCCAAGCTAGGCTTCAACAGTATTTGAACCAAGACTTTCCAGATGTTCAAGGTGGATTTTAAAAAGGCAGAGGAACCAGAGATCAAGTAGCCAGCATCCATTGGATCACAGAAAAAGCAAGAGAGTTCCAGAAAAACATCTACATCTGCTTCATTGACTACACCAAAGCCTTTGACTGTGTGGATCACAACAAACTATGGAAAATTCTTCCAAGAGATGGGAATACCAGACCACCTGACCTGCCTCCTGAGAAAGCTACATGCAGGTCAAGAAGCAACAGTTAGAACCAGACATGGAACAATGGACTGATTCCAAATTGGGAAAAGAATACATCAAGGCTGTATATTGTCACCATGCTTATTTAACTTCTGTGCAGAGTACATCATGTGAAATGCTTGGCTGGATGAAGCACAAGCTGGCATAAAGATTGCAGGGAGAAATATCAATAACCTCAGATATGCACATGACACCACCCTTATGCCAGAAAGTGAAGAGGAACCAAAAAGCCTCTTGATGATGGTGAAAGAGGAGAGTGAAAAAGCTGACTTAAAACTCAGCATTCAAAAAATGATGATCGTGACATCCAGTCCCATCACTGCATGGCAGATAGATGGGGAAACAATGGAAACAGTGACAGACTTTATTTTCTTGGGCTCCAAAATCACTGCAGATGATGACTACAGCCATAAATTAAAAAAACACACTTGTTCCTTGGAAGAAAGGCCATGACCAACCTAGACAGCGTATTAAAAAGCAGACACATTACTTTGCCGACTAAGGTCCGTCTAGTCAAAGCTGTCGTTTTTCCACTAGTCACGGATTGATGTGAGAGCTAGACCATAAAGAAAGCCGAACATGGAAGAATTGATGCTTTAGAACTGTGGTGTTGGAGAAGACTCTTTGAGAGTCCCTTGGACGGCGAGGATATCAAACCAGTCAATCCTGAAGGAAATCAGTCCTGAATATTCATTGGAAGGGCTAATGCTGAAGCGCCAATACTTTGAACACCTGAGGCGAAGAACTGACTCATTGGAAATGCTGGGAAAGATTGAAGGCAGGAGGAGAAGGGGATGACAGAGGATGAGATGGTTGGATGGCATTGCCAACTTGATGGACATGAATGGACAAGCCCCAGGAATTGGTGATGGACAGGCAAGGCTGGTGTACTGCAGTCCATGGGGTCACAAAGAGTCAGACAGGACTGAGTGACTGAATTAGACAGATAGAAGCTAAAGAGAATTACAGCTAGGCTGGGGCACTGGGAGGGCCTTTGGACCTCTGGGGGCAGCATTGTCAGGAGAGTGGAGAGCAGTGAACGAGGGACGTGCCGCGGAGGGCCGAAGACTTGGAGCCAGAGAAGAGGAGCGACTCTGCAGCAGCGGGGGCACCTGTGGTCCCTGCGGGCAGAGTGACGTGGCCCGGGCCCCAGCCGGGCCTCAGGGATGGAGTGGTCCCACACAGGGTGGCAGAGAAAGGACACGCTGCCCAGGACCTACAGGCTCCACTCTGCGCTTCTCCAGCTCGGGTGGGAAGGTTCAGGAGTCAGATCCAGGCTCCGCGCGCTCGGAGGTGGAGGTGCCATTGGCTGGCTGCAGGGCATGCCCGCGGGGCTTCTTCCCTTGTCCTGGCTGGCTGAGGGTTCTGCCGAAAGCCCTTTGACGCCCCTCACTTCTCCCTGGGGACCCAGTCCAGGCGCAGAGCACGGTCTACGGACCTGCCTGCCTGCAAATGTGACAGCACCCAGAGCTGTATTGATTTTTAAGAGGAGGAAATAGGTATATAAAATGGGACTCTCCAACCTGCTTTGAGTAGAAATTGGTGCTTCCTAAAGGGAATTTTAATTGGCTGGCTTTGCAAATAAATGTTTTTACCCCGTTCTTCCTCCTCACACTCCGCCCTGCCTCTGCTCATTCTTCTCAGACCTCACCCAGCCTCACTTCCTGGGCTTCCTGCTCTTGAACATAATCAGGTCCTTTGCTGATAGACCTGTGATTGGAAGACCCTGGGGTGTTGCTGAACTCAGTCTGAGCACCCTGGAAGGAAGACAGAAGATGCTGGGAGAGGGGCCAGCTTGCAGCAGAAGGACAGTGGGAATGGCATGTGAGCCCCCAGTCTAGAATGATATCCCCCTTTGAGCTGACAGCCCCATCTCCAGCCCCAGGGATGGTGCTTGCTGAAGAAGTACAAATGTTTCCTGCTGCTTGTAATCTATCTTGCAAATATAAGTATTCTGGAAGAAGGATTTATTTTAATAATGTGAGTTTTAGTTTTTTGGTTTTTTTTTTTCTATAGTTAACATTGGTTTATTACTCTGCTTCCTTGCCAGGAAGCTCATTTTAAGAGTTTCAATTCAAAATTAAATATGACCTCAGTGTTTTAAAATACAATTACATTAACTGTCCATTTAATATTTGCTTAAGATTTTTTTGGCCACTAATGTATAGTCAGTATACTTGTTTAATATTAAATACAGTGTTTCCAGCTATGCTCACCAGCTAACTTGCTCCAGCTGCAACAATAAGCCAGCAAAGGAAAGCCTTCTGAGAAGGGAGCTGCAAAAAGTTGTTCCCAGATGAAACTGCTTTATTGTCTTATGTCAGAAGCTACACTTTTCTTTAACTTCACTGTGTTTGATTATAGGGAACTATCTATTATTTATTTAGTACTGTACAGACCAATGTACAAGACAGGTAATTTAGTGACGGGATTATTTACTAATAAGCCCAGTACCCGAGTTAATGGGACTTAACCCCATGGAGGTCAGTCGCTGTGTAATACATGCCTTTTGGAAAGAAAAGAGTAGTATCTTCAGAACATTCAGTTGTTATTTTAGCATTTAAATTAAGACATATTCCCTTGCTGAGATGGAAAACAGCTGAACTGCATCCTGACAGGGTTGACCTGCAGCTGTGAGGAGAGACTGGCTTTGGAAGCCGCACAGGGCAGGCAGCGTGTTTCGGCCCCGGACCTGCAGCCGTGAGGAGAGACTGGCTTTGGAAGCCGCACGGGGCGGGCAGCGTGTTCCGGCCCCGGACCTGCAGCCGTGAGGAGAGACTGGCTTTGGAAGCTGCATGGGGCGGGCAGCGTGTTCCGGCCCCGGTAGTCCCAGCGGCGTCGTCGCTCCTCCGTGACTCACTGGAGGGGGGAGCCGTCCCCTCGTGGAGGTGGGCACATGAGAAACTGCTTGCAGTGGGAGCCCGTGTGTCGGGGGCGAGGCTCGGAGCAGGGAGCTGCGGCTTCTCCGGCCCAGGCTCGCCCCTTCCCTGTCATAGCTCCGCCTCTGGGACGCTCCTGGGCCCTGCACACAACCCCAAGCTCCGGGGCGGCCTTGGGGGGGTGGGGGTGCTCCTGGTTCCTGCTCACAGTCGATTGGTTTCTCTGCAGCAGGTGAGATGGCGGAGCCTGCGGGAGGCCCTGCTGGGCCCTCTGTGTGTCATGGGAGCGGTCGAGGGGTTTCTCCCCGCTGGGACCCCCTCCTCCTGAGAGGCTGGGAGCTCTGAAGGATAAATGAAGGTGCAGCGTGATCAGCCTTAACACTGGGTGGGTCTGTGTCTGCGTGCGTGTGTGTGTGTGTGTGTGTGTGTGATCACATGCAGTCATGGCGCAAGTGTTTGCTCTTTAAATTCATCATTCTTCTGTTTCATCTCAGTATTCAATTGATTTGCTTTCTCTCGAGCAGGAATGGAAGACCCACGAAGGAAAGGCCTTTTAGTTTTGTGTCTTCAAACCTGAAACACTTCTAGATTTGACCGGAGTCCTGTCAAATTGAGCACAATCGGGTATGAGGCCCGCTCCCTGGGCTTTAACAAACTCTGTTATCGGCGTCTGCTGCACAATCTGAAAAGGCAAGAAATGTGGCTTTCCCTGTTTAGAAAATCTTTGTGGGTTCCCCCCAACCCAGGGGAATGGTTTTCAGCAAATTATTCATTGGAAAAATGGAATCTGAAAAGCAGGTGTTTCTCAGCACATGTGCTGCAGTGGCCATGCTGGCCCCACTGCCTGTTGCTCATGCATCCGTTCAGCAGGCATGCACAGAGCTCCAAGGAGGCCCGAGCAAGGGCCCCAGGGCTGAGCGGCGGCATTGGGGCAGGTCTGCGGCGGTGGGGGGCCTTCAGTCAGACACCTGAGCTGCCATGGTGGGGAGCCTGTCCTCCTAAGCCCGGGCCACACCTGCCTTATTAGCACCAGACCACCTAGGACAGTGCCTTGACCCTCCGGGTTTTGCTTCTGGGGGATGAGGATGGGGGTGATAGGCTGGGAGAGCTCTAAGACTTAGGCCTTCTGCCTGTGTGGAGGAGCACTGTGCGCTGAGCGAACTGGCCACTGAGGCCTTCAGACAGAAGCACGGCCTCCCATGAAGCTGAGGGGCAGTGATGCCGGTGGCCGCTGTGCATGAGCCTGAGGCCCTGAAGTGTGGGCGCCTAGTGTCTCTTCTCAGAAGCTTCTAGAATATAACAGAATTGGCGTCAACACTCACACCCCCATTGTCTTTGCATGGTAGGGCAGTGGGCCTGGGCTTATAGCCCCGTGGAGTGGGGAGAAATTGACAGAAGTTCCTAAAAGTGACAAAAACCCAAATGCTGTCCAGTATACGTGCTCTCAAGAATAGAGCGGGTGAACAGAGGGCTTGTCAGCATTAGGGGACTGTGTGTTTCCCTTTCAAAGAGATGAGCAGAGTACTTCAGCTTTATGGCGATGGTTCAGATTGAGGTCTCCGGAATCAAACAAACGTTAATTCACATTCTGGTTTCATCCCTTGATGCACTGATCAGTGCCTCTGGGCCTCAGTTTCCTCTTTCAGAACATAGAAAAATGCCTCCTCGGGATTGTTGGGAGGGTAAAACAGGACTATTTCTAATTCTATGCATGGCACATGTTAGGCACTCGGTAAATAGCAGCTGTGAAACTGTATACAAGAGTTTCCCTTGAGTTATTTCCATATAGTTGATCCCGCCTCAGTGGATGCATCCTGTCCACAGTGCCATGGTGTTTGAAGAAGGTGTGATGCTGAGAACATCTCTCACCTGAGACTTGCACAGTCAGTTGCCTTAATTGTATCTGACCTTGGCTGTGTTACTGAGAGTCAGGACATTGAACTGCATGATAGAAAACCAGTCCTCACCTACCCATCTTGACTACATGCCCTGAGATTTTTCATTCTCATGCTACTTACTTTTCATCTTAACTCTTGTTTGCTATAGAGGCCCTCTGCCTGACATTTCTGTTCGTCTCTGTCCCTAAAATCCTCTGTCCAGGCCAGAAGGATATATATTCTTTTTCCTCAGGTGTCCATGCAGAACTTTAATGTCAGGGAGCAGTTGGCCGCGTGTGACACCCTCCTGCCTTGTCATCTTGTCTTTGGGGCACAGACGCTGATATTCTTGTCTTGGCATGTGGAGGAAAGAGTGTGCCCCATCCATCTCCTCTAGGCCGGCAGTGTCACACACCCTCGGCACAGCAGAGCAAGGCCACGCAGGGTCTTCGAGAGCATCAGAGGAGCAGCTCTGGGGGGTTGGCCCAGCAGAGAGAGACCAGACTGTCGGACACTCGGGGCAGGTGGCCGTGTGCCTTGTAGAGTTGGCCTGCTAGTTGCTCTCTATTGACCAGATGTCCCACTTGACATCTGTATCCAAAGATGAGATGTTTGCAATTTTTGTTAATGGACTGGTTTCTCCTGTGTTCTTTTCTGGGAGGAGGGAGCAGAATTGTTGAATAATGCAAAGGTACCTAACCCCAAAGATCCTTTGGGATAAAGTACTCTGGAGGGAGTACCAAGAATTTGATGAGACTGATGGAATGACTTTAAAAACTTTATGTTTTTACAGATATTTTTCAACAAATGAACTAAATTCTTGATAGAACTGTAATAAATATACTTAAGCAGCAATTTGATCAGGACTTTTATAGTATTTTTTATGTCAGCTATTATCTCTTTTTAAAACTCTTTCATTGCTAACATATATGCATCTTACTTGTAAGAAGCTGAATTAAGCAGGGAAAAGGAATGTACCTCTCCTGTGTGTGTGAAACCTTAGAAAGCGGCTTTGTTCACTGCTTCAGTGGCGAAAGCACGTACAACATAGACATAAGGCTATTTGAACTCTTTATTTGTCACATTTACAATATTAATAATAGTGTTTCTAGAAGTTGTCACATCAAGTAAAAGATCTTCATTCCAGGCTGTCTTTGGGGGCCAAATTGAGACTGGATGCATGCATTTAATAAATTGTAGTCTCAAGTAGTCATTTTTGTAAATAATTAGTTTCAGTGAAAGAATAAGTTAGCATATTGTATGCATCTAATGTTGCAAATGTACATACAGCAAACTTTGCTATTAATCAACAGTCAAGCACCGCAAGTGGGGTCTCATACATAATGAATTGTGCTTAAACCTCATGGGCTTCTTGATAGAAAAATAAAAGAAAACACAAGCGTAGTAAGCTTTTGAATAAAATTTAACTAGATTGCTCTGCATCCTGTAATTGTTTTGGAATCATTAGGGACCTGATAATTCATCTATAGTTTTGGGGTGTTTTTATCTTCATCTGTCAAATAGTAGAGATTTTTAATGATATGTTAAAGTGTTGATAAAATACAGTTTTCCTTTTAACAACTTGAACATTTAGGAGAGAAAGTAGATAGACTTTTTAAGGCATTCTTATCTGCCAAGTATACTGTTTAAATTGTCTCTTAAAATATGTATTACTGTTGATATATTTTAAGCAATTATTATTTTTAAAAATACAGTCCTTATGTACATTATATAGGGAGGAGTTGAAAATTTACATAAAATTTTCTCTGTATTGTTGGTCGGTGTTTTAAAATACTATAGCAAATTGCTACAGAGGAATGCTTGCTTAGGTTCTGACATTAATTTGAGCCCCAAATTTTGGGGGCTTAGGATGCCTATTATAAACATACCTGTGGCCACCCAGAAAGCGAGTGAAAGGGGCCCAGTTAGACTTGAGAGAGCCTCTTCCTCCTCCTCGCGTTGATTTGACCATGAGCCATCGGTGGCCTGTGATGGGATCATGAATGTAAGGTTCGTTTCAGGGGGTGTGACCGTGGGGCAGAAAGCATGAAGGAATTCTTCCCTCTCTTCATGAACCACACAGTAAAACTCAGCACAGGCTCACTGAGCTGATGGTCAGAACTCAGGTTCGCCCTCCTGTCGCCGTTTCTGGAAACTCGGCCTGGGCCGCCTTCAGCGCTGACTCTGGTCTGATACGAAATCTCTTCTTTCTGCATATAAGCGTCATTGAGATAGGTACTACAATCAAACGTATGAAAGTCAGTCCATAAAGTCATGTGTTACAAGTGGTAGGCGCTCTGGTCTCATAGAATTAAAATCTGCGAGTTATATATACTGTTTATATATATATAAACTTAGGCCTGTTTCCGATATTTCATGCATGTTTGTTAATCTTTTCCCTGTTTTTCATAGTTGAGTACATGTTGCTCTTAGGATTGTGTGAGAAAGAGGCAAGATGACACGTGACTCCTCCTGAGCATCGCCTGATGAGCAGCAGGGAGGCTCCGGTGGTGTCCGTAGGGGGACCCCCTGCCCCGCCCGGCACACCTCCTCTTGGCCTCCGCTGACTCAGTCGTTTGTCTGAGACCTGTGTTTCTCACACTGTAGCAAGTGTTTCTCCTTTTTCTACTCTGTGTCCTAATACAACTCTGGAGTGTTCAAGTAAATGCACAGATCCCGTCACACCCATGTGGGGTTCTTGCCCAGACAGCTGATGGCCGCCTGGCAGTGTCACGGAGCCATCGCTTTCCCGGCTTGTTCATTGGGTGACACACGGAGGCCCCGGCTGGGCAGGACGGGCTCCTCCAGCACAGCCATCAGGGCGGCCATGAGCACCTCTGCGCTGTGCCTTCAGCTTCCCTGCCTTCCCAGGTGGGTGGCAGTCCCCAAGCCGACACTCTTGCCAGTAAGCCCTGTACTTAGCGGGTCCTCAGTAAATGCTTGAATGGAATCAGACCAGTAAATTTGGTTGGAATAAAGAGTTTAAAGGCTTTGTTCAGCTTCTCATTTAGAAAAATTTAAAGCATCTTTATTGAAAACAGGTAGCATAATTTATTTGTCTTCAGTGCTACCACTGGAAGAAAAGCATCTGAGCTTTACAAGAAGGTATAATTAAATGCAGGACAAATCTGTCAGACACAAACACAAGCGACTCTGCCAGAGATCTGCTAACTTGGATGTAATTGTGCATTTCCCATCTCCACATGATGTTTATAAAGTCACCTTGATTGCAGTTTTAAGTGTTAGCTGGGCATATGTCCCTACCTGAGCCTGTGAGGTCTGGCGCTCTATCCTGGAGTCCTGGGGGCCAGAGAAGGTGAGGCTCCTCATCCTGAGGGGCGCTCAGCCGCTGTGTGCGTGTCCTCACGTCTGATCAGACTCGAGTGTCCGTGTGCATCCTTGCAGGCTGATCTCACAGCCTTGCTGAAGGACACCTCCCCGTCACCGCCCCAGACTCCAGGTGACCTCAGGAACACGAGTCTCTGGAGCCCTTCTCTCAGGTGATCCTCGCCGTCACCAGTTAACGTTCCCCAAACCGGAAGGCTCAGTTCCACCCTGTGAAGCGAGAGACGGGGAAGAGGCACCAGGTCCCAGGGAGGCCGGGGGCACGGCAGCGGCATGGTCACCCACGGGCAGGATGCACGGGGCTGACCAGAGGGGGAACACGGGACTTCCGGCCTGCTTGCTCATGTTGGAACGGGTACAAGCCCAAGTACATGACATGGTGATGTCTATGGGGAGTAGAATTCATTCAGATGGCAGGATTTAGTGATTCTTTGCTGCCAGTCGTTGAAGCCTTGTTGTTGACTTGAACTCGGTGATTAATTTGTGTCCGACTCTCTGCAACCCCATGGACTGTATAGCCCACCAGGCTCCTCTGTCCTTCACTATCTCCCAGAGTTTGCTTAAATTCATGTCCATTGAGTCAGTGATGCCATGTAAACATCTCATCTTCTGCCACCCTCTTCTTTTCCTTGAAAGGGAAGCCTTGAGGCACCCCAGAATCTGCACACCCAAAGCTCCTGCCCACCAGGTGGGTGTGTCGAGCACAGCTGTTCTGTGGGCAGACGGGAGAAGGCAGAGCTGGGGGCGGCCCTCTTGTTTGCTGGGCGGCCTGCCGCACGCAGTCGTCCCCACAGTGGGGAGACCCTGAGCAGCACTTCCTGGTGGCTTTAGCCAGCCTGGCGCACGGCACCTCCCCTGCCCCAAGGGCTCCTGGGCCCGGCTGCTCCCCCTGCTCTGCCCCCTGGGGGCCAGGCCGTCACTCTTCTCCTGTCCTCCCAGGGCCAGGGCCTGGAGGCCTCACGCGGGGGGACCAGCAGCCTTCCCAGTGCCCCCCATGCTCGCGTATCAATGCTGTGAATTCGTGGGTTCTCTGGATAAGTCTTGGGGAGAGTCCCTGCCTGCTTTACTGAAAACACTTCAGACATTTGTTCTGGAGCATGTCACCTGCTTTGCTGTGTCTGATTTGGAATAATGGACAGGTTCATGTCCAAACAAGTCTGAAATGCAATTCAACACCAAAACGTTCTTTCTCCAGGCCCATGGGAATGGGTCAGGCTGTTGGGACTCACGGCTCCAGGAGAGCTTCCCACAGGGGTTTCCAACACACCCAGGTTCCGGCAGCGTACCCTCAAGGCGGCACTCTGTTGTCCTTTTTATGGGGTTGGCAGCATTGCATATTTCTTGAAGAAACCCTTACACCAAAACATATGTGACTTTATGTTTGCTGTACAAAGGTTCCTATGCTTTCTATTGTTATGTTAAAAAGCTTAACAAAGCCAAATTCATTTTCCAGCCACCACCAGCCCTCTTGTGCCAAGTGAAAACAAGTCCTGATACTGACCTCAGGATTGCTCTTCCTGATGATGTCCTGGGCGGCTGTGGAAGGACTCGAAAGCGGCGGGACAGCTTTGTCTCGCTTCCATCCTTGGCGCTGGCCTTCCAGCAGCCCTCCTGGGGGCCGGGCTCCCACACAGTGGTGCTTCCCAGAGGCAGTGGCCACAGGTCTGTGCATTTAGTGGTAGGTGAGCTGCTGGGCTCCCAGCTCCCAGGGAGATGGTGGATGTGAGATTTAAATGAGCGTGGGCCACGGAGCCCGTAATGATTGGGGTTTCAGGTTCGTCGGTAGGAAGCCTAGAGAAACTCCTCCATAATAAGAGCAGCTGTTAGCGATGCTGTGATCCTGTCACACCACAGCTCTTTCAGGGACGAGCAGAGCGAGGTTGGAGGAGAGGGCAGGGCGGAGAATAAATTTCATTTTATTGTAGAAATGGAAATTTGTGTCATGGCTTTAAAAATCTGATTTTATGTGTGTGTTTAATGCCATTCATTTTAAATGTAGTATCATAAATCCTTGCTTCAGAATCAAAGCTGTTTAATTACATTTCACCCATGAATAGTTATCTAATGCCAATAGAGAAAGAGTTAAAAAGGAGAACTGCAGAGTAAATCAGAGGTTGAGATCTTTAGCACAAGCATAAAAAATCAATTTAAGATGAATTTTACTACTATAAAAATTCTTCAAATATCCTTTTAAGAGTGGGAAATGCTAGGAAACTCAGCTCACATTTCAATTCCCTTAGCAACGCAGGGGAAGTGGCCCCCAACCTGGGCAGTGCCCCGGGATGCCCACAGCTCCGTAGCCTTTGTCAGATGCCCCCGAGCGAACCAGGCATCTGAGTAAGGGTTGTGACTCCCCAAGATGGGTGCAGAGCCCCTGACTCTCAACTTAAGCCATCTGTCTCCTGGGCAGTGTGCCCCCCACTTCAGGGAGCCCCGTTTGCAGGGTGTAATGGTCAGGAAGACCCCTCAAGTCCCGGAGACCACCCAAGCACTCATGTTTACTGCCCTCACCCACCAGCACCTCACCCCACCCGCCTCTGCAGGAGGTGCTGGCCAGGGCTGTCGGGCCCTCTCCTGCTTCCCACGTGGGTCAGGGGCGGTGACTCTGCCACTTAGCCAGGTGTGAGCAGGGTCACGCGTGGACCACTGCCCACTTGTGCGCTCGTGTTGACGTGCATGCTTAACAGGTTGCGTGTGCTGTGCCTTGTCTGAGCGAGCTCAGCACACCCCATCTCCTCCCTGCTGGCCCCATGAGCAGGGTGGCAGAGCCCATGGCCTTTCTCCACTTTCTTCCCTAGAGTCGGCTCCCTGCTTACTCCATAAAGGCTGTGGGCTCAGAGGAGCTTCCTGCCCCTCGTGCACGTTTCCCCTCCCCGGCGGAAGCCAGACACTCAGCCCACGGGCGGGGAGGTGCGGGGAAGCTGCCTTCTGTCCAGGGCCAGGGGTCAGGAAGGAACGATGTCTGAAATCAGCTGGGTGAGGTGTGCCGTCCTCCGAAGCTCAGAAAAGCTGGATCCCTCATAAAGGTCTGGGGCTCGGAAGCGGCAGAAGTGACCCTCTCCCGAGGGACGTTTTCTCAGCCCAGCAGAGCATGTCCCTTGAAGGTCAGCCTCTGCTGAAGGGGAGAAGTCAGCTCCATGAGAGGAGCCACGGGATCACCCAGACAAGGCTGAGCCCATGAGGAGAAGAGACAGGCCATCTGAAGCGAGTCTGAGGTGTATTGGCTTAAACCTACGGAGGTGAGAGGAAGGAGGGACAGTGACCACAGGGAACAAACGAGAAGGTTTGGAAAAAAGAAGTCTCAGGCAGGAAAGTCGTAGTCCTGTAACTAAACCAGCCTCGCAGAGTGACTGGCACACCGCCCAGACGCCCTGGAGCATGAGGTGCGGCGCAGACTCAGGCCGGGGTCCCCCCGAAGCCCCGAGAGCCAGAGAGCACGTGGAGCCATGGGGTGTGCGGTGGAAATGTGGTGGGCGGGGCGAGGATGTGGGTTTGACGACTCTGACGGTACTTCTGGAGAACATGCTCGGTGACTGCAGCGGAAGTGGAGGTGGTGGTCTCGGGAGGGGCGGGCTCATGCCCACTGGAGCTGCGTCAGCTCGTCACCCTTGTTCTCACACCCCCGCCCTGCGGCAGGACTGCAGACAGCCCCGCAGACGAGCCCCGGTCCCAGGACGTCCTTCCAGAACCTGTGTCCCTCCAAGCGGAGGTGGAGGCACGGGTGCAGTGACCCCGCCCCCTCCTTCCGCAGTCACCTCTCTGCCCTTTGAGGGGCAGCAGGTGGAGCAGGGCCTGGAGCTTGAGTCTCTCCTGTTCTCTCTCTCGCAGGCCGGCGGAGGCCCCCACTCCCGCTCAGCAGCTCGGCGGCCCCGGGGCAGTGCCGGAGCCCCTGCTGCAGTGCGCGGCCTGGCTGGATGCCTATTTCCGCGAGCCCTCGGTCCTCGAGGGGCTCCCCGTGCCCGTGCTGCACCATCCCATCTTCCAGAAAGGTCAGTACCACGGCCGCCGCGGCGTCTGGCTCAGGGAGCCTGACCTGATCGCTGTCAGCCCCCTTCCAGCTCGGGCTGTTTCCCCCCAATGAACAGAGGCGGCGTGTGCCACACAGCACGGACGGCAGCTCCCACTCTGCACCCGCTCCAAGTGCTCCTGTTAGTTTTGGCACAAGGTCCCATAATTCTTGGCAAAGGCAATAAAAATGATCCGTGCACATTGATGCCTGCCTCGCACTGGCTCAGAGTTTTAAAGGAACACATCGGAATGGCAGTGGATTTTTCAATAAGCCTACTGTTAACTTAAACTGTCTGCCTGCCAGCAGCACTGAGACTCGCGTGTGGACGACTGGCCGCTCCACGAACTCGGCTGCTAACACCCTGAAGTGGGCGGTGGCTGCGTGTCCTCTTGAATAAGTTTTCAGGCCAACATCTCAAACTCACCACAGTTAAATGTTGTATTCTTGAGGGATGAATCGAGAACTTACTGTCTATGTGCAGCGTGATAGTGGGACTCTGATAGTCTCTGATAACATAAAAACAATTTCCCAGACAAGTTCTCCTTAAGCTTTTGTTTGGAGCTTAATTATGGCAACTAATATCATTCTATACACATAGCGGAGGTTTATTTTGCATAGTGATTTTTTTCACAGTTGTTTTAATATAAGTGAATCTTATATCAGCAACTCAAGTGAAAAGAATTTGAGCGAGCTCCAGGAGATGGTGGAGGACAGAGAAGCCTGGCTATAGTCCATGGGGTCACAGAGTTAGCGACTGAAGAACAGCAACAGTTACATAGAGATACATGTGTGTAGATGTATACATACGTATACACTTAAGAAAAAAGTTACTGTGAGATTTTACATGAGGTGAATTCCCTCAAAGTGGAATTTGCTAAATGAGTTTCGTGGTATTCTAACTGCAGCCATAGTTTTCAGCACTATTGAAGGTGGAGCCGGGCTTTCAGGGATAGCAGGTAGAGAAGCTCGGGCAAGTTGAGCTAATACCCGAGTTGACCAGCAAGGTCAGGGGACTGACCAGGTCGGACCCTGGAGGTCTTTGCCCACAGTGAACTGAAGCTGAGCAAGAATGCACCAGCCCCTGGGCGTCACATGGGGCTGTCTCCAGTGGGAGCATCTCTGAGGGGGTTGTCTCCAATGGGAACGTCTAGAAGGGCGTCTCCAGGACAAGACCGCATTGAGAGCTGGGTGAGCCTTTGCCGCACTCCACGCTCATGTCCAGAGACCCTCCATCATCCAAGAGTGGGGCCCCCTTGGGCTGAGGTGGTGCTGCAGCTGAGCTTGGCCGCCACTGCCTGGCACTCACCACCTGCTCGGAACCGGAACCAGCCCTGCACATCGCTGGGCCTGGTCGAGGGTGTGCCTGACACTCCTCGTGTGCACCTCCCACACACTGGGTGCAGAGTGGGGGTCCTGCTGTGCAGTTTGAGGAACTCAAATGTGGGTTTGTCTTTAAAGTAGAGGCTTGGGAATCTTGGAGCTCCAAACTCTTCTGTCCACTACTGCCATTCACTGCTCTGCCACCAGGAGCAGAAGCGGGTTGGCCAAACCGCTTTCCTGCTCCTCACGTGTGTCAAATAAGTGAGCTCAAGTTTAAGGCTTAGGATGTTTCAGAGCAGAGACATGATGAAACCAGGGCAGGAAGTATCTGTATAATATAATGAGGGTGTCAGCGGGGAGTGAGCTTATAAAACCCTGAAGTCCTGTCCTCAGTGCTCAAAGAGAGCAGAAACTGGCCACACGCACCCTGCCACCCCGCTTCCCAGCTCCAGGCCTGAGCGTGGCCATCTCTTCTCCTGCGGGTCATAGTCATGGTCGGTCTGGGCAACCAGGGCAAGCTGGAAGCAGGCACTGGGGAAGGAGGAAGACTGCAGTCACCCAGTAGCCCACCCCCTGTTGGACTAGCTCTGCAGTGCTGGGTGGGGGACACTCGTGACCGGGACCAGGTCCCCTCCAGCTGGGTTTTGGGGTGGGGGCAGGAGGGTCCCTGAGACCCGGCCGCCTGCTGACAGTGCTGGCTCCCAGGCCAGGATTTCCCACACCGCAGCCTGTGCCAGCCAGGTTTTTCTAATTTAGCTCAATCACTTCTCCCAGGCGAGGACCAGGTGTGGGGATTTTTACAGTTTAAGAAGGGAGGTGGTGGGTGGTTGTACTGTGATTGCTAACACGGAGTTAATTGGCACTAACCCCAGGGGTGCTGACACCCTCGCTGCTCAGGGCAAGTTGGCTTTGCTCTCCTCCTCTCCATCCTGGAGCCAGTGAACTGGGGTGAGGGGTCGGCCCACGCTGGGAGGGCGCCCAGCACCCCAGAGGCCCTGACGGCTGCGGGCCCACCAGGACGAGCAGCCTCTGCAGCCAGGGAGGAGAGGGCGTGTTTATCTGGGATGAACGCTTCCTTGACAAACTCTGTTTTCCATGCCTCTGAGGTTGTGAGCACATTTAGCATCCTTTGGGCGTCACCTTTCATCCCATTCCTCTGAGAGGTAGACATGTAGACCAGACCTGCCTGTCTCAGCTTGGTTAGAAGCGCAGCGATGATGGAGCTCCTGCTGGAGTCCCGTGCCTCCCTGGGTAACCCGCACAGCCCGGCCTGCGAGGCTGGGGGCCCTGCGCTGGCTGTGCTTCTGCCCGGGGCCCCCTGCTCGGGCAGGACCACTACCTCACCTCTCAGGCTCCTCGCCTTAAATGAGGCTGATGCTCACCATCTGGGTTGTTTTTTTTTTTTTTTTGGTAAGGCTAGTCACAAAACAGCCTATTAGAATTACCATTTTAGTGGGCTAAACATCAAATATTGGAAATTTCCTGTCATTCATCTTCTTCAATTCAGTCGCTCAGTCATGCCCGACTCTCTGCGACCCCATGAATAGCAGCACACCAGGCCTCCCTGTCCATCACCAGCTCCCAGAGTTTACTTAAATTCATGTCCATCGAGTCGGTGATGCCATCCAGCCATCTCATCCTCTGTCGTCCCCTTCTCCTCCTGTCCCCAGTCCCTCCCAGCATCAGGGTCTTCTCCAATGAGTCAACTCTTTGCATGAGGTGGCCAAAGTATTGGAGTTTCAGCTTCAGCATCAGTCCTTCCAATGAACACCTAGGACTNCATGTCCAGTTCTAACTGTTGCTTCCTGACCTGCACATAGGTTTCTCAAGAGGCGGGTCAGGTGGTCTGGTATTCGCATCTCTTTCAGAATTTTCCACAGTTTATTGTGACCCACACTGTCATCTTCTTACCTTGGAGCATTTCTGAAGTCTGATTAGTAACAAGTTGATTATCTGGGTATTTCTACCCAGGAACTGTTAGGCCGTCCTCCTAACCAGAAGTCTGGAGGAGGCCTAGGTGGCTGCCTTGCCCGTGGGCCACGCAGGTGGGATTTCTCTCAGAAAGGGAGGCAGGTCGGTGAGGTTAACGGCGCTGATGAAGAAGCGAAAATGTGAGGCGAGTGTGAGTGAGAAGTGTGCTGAGTCCTCGTGGGATTGTGGTTTTAGTAACATAACTTCAAAAACTGAAATGAACGTTTTGTTTTCTGAGTTTTCTGAAAGGGATTTGTTTTTGTGTTTTGCTAATGAGCTCGCTGCCTTATAACTCAGCAAGGCATTTTTAGGGCGGTCGGGTCCTCCCTGTAAACCTCTTACAGAGGTCAGGTTTGTTTATTTTGAATTCATGTTTCTCCAAGAAACAGCTTTTTAATGAAGCCATTATTCCTGAAATAAATCTTACTGTTTCTTTTGTAATAAAATACCATTTTAACTTAGTTTCTGTGAATACTCCCTCACTTGTTAATATTGACTCATAACAATGTTCGCTTCTTGGTATAGTATCCCTCTTAATACCTGCAGCCTTAGCGATCAGTGGCAGAAGCAGCTGGAATGACTAAAGAAGCACTGTGCCAAAAGCAGGGTCCCACAGAGCGTTCGAGAAGAGCAGGCTAGGAAAAGCAAAGACCTGCTGTCAGGCTCGGGACGTGTGCAGCACTGTCTTCCCTCTGCCCTAGAGGCCCTCCGGGCAGGCGTGGCTGGGCAGATGGGGGCAGGCCCACCGCCCTGACAGCACCGTGTGCTTTTCCTGCCGGGCTAGGGGTGGCCTCCCCGGGCGTCCTGAGTCCCCTTGCTGGGGCGGGGCCTGCGGGGCTCTGGATGGATGCCATAGGAGGCTGCTCCCAGGGAACACGGGGGCCTTTAGGCTTCCTCCCTGTTACGTCTCATAGAGGCCGGTTTCCACCAGATGAGTTCTGAGTTTTCTTTTTAAAGTGTCTGCAATGTTCCTTTTTAAATGAAATATTTAACACTTTAATAATTCCTTTGTCACAGCTATTAGCTTGTGCCATGAAATCCAGTTGCATGACAGTAGTAAAATCTGCATTTTTCACACCTGCTGGCTAGAGGGAAGTTTCTTCGCAACTTCTGCTGCCGAGCCTCTAAAAGGATTCTTGTACTTCTATGTGTCTTGTGAACCCTGTTTCAGAATGGTCTTTAACAACCCTGCCCGTCCGTCAGGGGAAAGGCCCTTTTGGGGGAGAATGAGTCTGTTTCCCTGCAGTGTCCTGCGTGTGGCCCCCTGAGCCCCCTCCATTCGGGGTCCCGGGGCCTGCTTTCCCCACAGTGTCCTGCGTGTGATCCCCGGGGCCTGCTTTCCCCGCAGTGTTCTGTGTGTGGTCCCCGGGGCCTGCTTTCCCCACCGTGTCCTGCGTGTGGCCCCCTGAGCCCCCTGAGCCCCCTCCATTCGGGGTCCCGGGGCCTGCTTTCCCCGCAGTGTCCTGCGTGTGGTCCCCGGGGCCTGCTTTTCCCGCAGTGTCCTGTGTGTGGTCCCCGGGGCCTGCTTTCCCCGCAGTGTCCTGCGTGTGGTCCCCGGGGCCTGCTTTCCCCGCAGTGTTCTGTGTGTGGTCCCCGGGGCCTGCTTTCCCCACCGTGTCCTGCGTGTGGCCCCCTGAGCCCCCTGAGCCCCCTCCATTCGGGGTCCCGGGGCCTGCTTTCCCCACCGTGTCGTGCATGTGGCCCCCTGAGCCTCCTCCATTCGGGGTCCCAGGGCCTGCTGTGGCGCCCTGTCACTCCCCAAACCCTGGGGCCAGCCCGGGGCGCCCTCAGAGGGCCTGTGGTGCAACAGGGAGGCTGCTCTCTGCGGGCCCCTTGCAGAGCCACGGCAGCACACACCTTTGTGTTCTCGGGCCACTTGTGCTGATGTTTTCCCTGAATTTAAAAAAAAAAAAGATGTACCGATTTACAGAGAAAATAGCTACAACAGGAGATGCTTTACAGGTTCTGGTTAGTAGCCATCAGTGTTCTCCCATATTCTAAATGAGGGCTCATAACTGTCGTTGACCTTCCTGAGATGTTGCCTGGTGGGGCTCCTTCCAAGGCCCGTCTGTTGATTAGAACAAGCTAACACTTGCACCTCGGTGGGAAGGAAACAGCTGCTGAGAATGTACTTCTCCCAGCTCGCGGGCTGCTGAGCACTCTTCAGGGCTAACAGGCTTGGAAATCTGGGTCTGCGGCCTTCGACGTCTGGTCCTGGGGTGCAGAGGTGGGCAGCAGGCTGCCCTCCTCGCCAGCGTGTTTGCTGTGACACTCCAGGGCGCCCTTAACCACCCCAGGGGCCCCTCCCTGCTCAGAGGAGAGCCCCACATTTCCTGGGGGGCGTCCGACCGGCCTTCAAGGAGAGCCTGCAGCTGACTTGCAGGCCGGAGGGAGCACCCTCACTGGCGGGCCATCCTCTCCTGCCTGCCTTGCCCCCACCCTTGTTGGAATAGTGCATCACTTCCAGCCCCTCAGTGGAGCAGAAGATCCCAAGACTTCTGTGTCCCAGGTCAACGGTCTCCCTGGGCTGGGGGCTCCCAGCCCAGGCAGAAGGAGCGTTGTTTGAGCCTGGACCAAGTGAGGCTGGCCAGGCCGGCTCAGGGAAGCCAGTGCCCTTCCAGCAGGAGCGGTCCATCCCCACTGGTAAGTCCCTTCTGGCGTGTTGGTGCATGTCGCGGGGGCCTGAGGTTCTCATCGTGTCTCAGGTTATTATTCTTTACATCTTATTTTCACGCAGTTTACCGCCTGGCAGTTGTCGTCGGTGTTTGTTTACTCTTTGTTCTGTGTAACCACATCTTGAGCTAGGAGAGAGTTTTTAAAGTTTCAACTGGGATTGATTCAAGCGAGCAAGTTCCCCAGGTTACTCTCGTACCTGAGGCCCTTTTCCTGGAAGTGTATGCATCAGAATGCTCTAGAAAGCCTGTTAACAGTACTATGTCTGCAGTATCTATACTTCTCACCCCCTCCCCAACCACATTAAAATCATAAGAGGCAAATTAAATATACCCTATTTTGAGAATTACTGTTTTTAAAGAATGTATTAAAATGGATCCAACTCTAAGTGCTTTTACTATGTGCTTCACCCTGTACTAAGGTTAATATTTCTAACTTCATAATGGTTTGTTTGAGACATAACTGTGCCTTCTTGAGGGTTTTTGCTGTGGTAATCAGCATCGTGAAGCCTGGCGAGCTGCAGTCCACAGAGTCACAGAGGGTCAGACACGACTGAGCGACCGCAGTGAATCCACAGCTTCAGCAAGTTCTAGGCGCTGCATGCATCTCCTTGATTTTAGGGCTTTGCTCACAGCCAGGGGACAAGGCGGGGGCCACATAGCCTTCGCGTTTGATGGGGAAGACTAGGCCAGACAGGCTGCCTGTCAGAACATCCTTTTGCGGGTATGGACCAACAACCAGACGATGCCCCCGGAGCCTCGCCAGCATACCCTGGGGTAGCGCCCTAGCAGAGGCATCCAGAGCCTTCAGGACGGGTCCAGGTACTTTGGCCAGAAATGTGCTTTCCTCTGAAGCAGGCAGACAGCGGAAGCTTTAGCTTCTTGTGGAGCTCTCGGAGCAATGGGCGTGGCCGAGAAAGGGGTGAGGGGATCTTCAGGTTCTGGATGCTGACCCGACGCTGTGACTGCTGTGAGGGGTCCATGGTCACTCGCCTCGGGGAGAAAGCGGGTGCAGCGCCTGCCCTCTCCTGTGATGTTCTGGCTCGGGTACCATCACAGCCTGCTCAGCCCCGCACAAGCATATGGGGTCCCTGTGCAGAGAGCCCTCTGACTAAGCAGTAATTACCAGGGGCTCCTGGGAGGCCTAGCTCAGGGGAAGTTTCCACCTAAATCTGAGAGGTGGTCAGATCCACATTCCCTGAGGTTTCCATAAATCAGGCAAAAAAAATTGAACTTGAGAATGCCTTCACTCAAGGCCACGGGGTCACACAGTATAATTTAACCAAGCTCAAAGACAACTAGAAAGTTGGTTTGAAAGTCAGCGACTTTCAAATCTTGTAGGATACAATGAGGTCTCTATTACAAATAAATAGTACTTAAAATTGATATTATTAAAAGTGTTGCTTATATGAGAAAGTATTAACATTAAAGTATGACATATCTCTGGCATAATAATTAGACATCCTACCAGTAAAGGTTCCAATTAAAAACGAGTCACCCTAATTACATTCACATGTTTAGAAGGACATTACCTGCCAGGTCCTGTGTTGGATTTGGGTGTGTTTCACCTCGAAAAAAGGAATGGAGGATCAAGTTTCTTCCTGCTGGGGGAAATGAGTTACATTGTCACTTTCTTCAATAATTTTCATTTGAAATGAGCTTTAAAAAATAAGAATCGTCTAACAAGTCTATATTTTAATGTGACAAACCGACTTTTCCTTATATGTCCTTCCAAAAAGAATGTTTAATATTTTGTTGTCTTAAGATGTTGTCTGGTCACATTTACAGGCAACATTAACGTATTTTGATATCATGCTCACAATAATAAATAGAATCATTTCTACTACCTGGGTTTATAGAGAAAATGATGTTTTAGTAAAACACTATATAAAACTAGACTGTAAGTTACCGACGTTAAATGTACAAGTATTGATATAAAACTAATGGCAATAATGCCGTCTAGATATTTGTAGGATCCAAAAGCGTAAAAACTATTACTTAACTTAAATGCTCTTATCTCTCAGGTTTACTTGCAGCCCTGATGTTCAAGATGACTCGGTTCAGTTCAGTCACTCAGTCGTGTCCCACACCTTGCAACCCCATGGACTGCAGCAGGCCGGGCCTCCCTGTCCATCACCAGCTGCCGGAGCTTGCTCAGATTCATGTCTGTCGAGTTGGTGATGCCATCCAGCCAACCAAGATGACTCAGGGTATAGGATTTATGAGCATACAGGTCCCATTTTGAAGGTCATGTTTCCAGTGTCTGAATGGAAAAGTGAGGTATCTCCTGGATAAGAACTGTCTCTCTCTGAGATGTGGCTTTCACGACCTTGAGGGGTGGAACTCTCCAGGCAGGACAGACCTTCTGGAGACTCAGCTGCCAGGGCGTCATGTGAAGTTTTAAGGCCATGTGACAAAGTGCTTCCGAAACTGAAGAATGAAGTAGAAGAAGTGTGTTTAGCTCTTCTGCTTGTCCCTGAGCTATATTCAGATGTTTCCTGCCCTCAGAGTACCCAGGGCAGGGTTGGTGGCGTGCTGGGAAGCAGCGCCCCTGCGAGCCCTGCCCTCAGCCAGCGTCGTTCTGTACAGAATCTCTGTCCCTGCGGCAACTCCTCCTTCCTCTCTTCCTTGCGCCATGTGTTCACCATGGCACAAGCACATTGTGTGAAGGACCACCCTGGATTTAGGGGCAGGGTCACTGTCTGCTCTTTCTAAAAACACGGCCGCCCTCGGCGGGGCCACAAGGTCAGCAGCGGCACACTCTTTGAGCCTGTCCTCCGACCCAGGGAGGGAGGGAGACCCAGGGCTCCTCACTCGTCCAGGATGTGTGCTTTCCTCAGTGCGTCCGCATCTCTTCCTCTTTGTAGAATAAAATATGCAAGAACCAACATAAATGGCATATCCCCCCCTTTTTTTCCTCAAGAATTGGGCCTTTGATGTTCAAGAGCAGCTACTATTAAAGACCATCCCTAGCAGCCTGTAGAAACTGCACCTATTTATGACAAATGTAAAACAGCACAAATCTCACAGAATATGATGGTATCATTAGTTTGTGAATCGCATCCTTGAAAATAACTGTGGAGGAGCCAAATCGGTTTAAAAGAAGATAACAAAATGGTTTAAGCTACTTAGGTTGAATGCCAATTATATTTTAATATTCAACTGAGCATATTTTACTAAGAAAAAAGGCCGCGTTGACGCATGCATAACTCATTGGCAGCGTCGGCCAGCTGTGCCACTCTACTCTCCGAATCACTTTGTGCATTTTAGTAGCATGGTAATTTAGTAGAGAACTACCTGAGTGATGGCATTTTCAATGAGCAGGTAATCTACAGAGAATTTTTATATGGTTATGAGTTCTGTGCTTCAGCCCAGCAACACAAAAATACATCAAGACCAATTACGGTATCAACTTTCAGTGTGGTACCCTCGCCACGCAAGTGCATGTATTTCTGCCCCAGGCATTTCAAATTGCATCTAATTTGAAATCTTTGGGGTTTTAATTAAATTTCAGAATATATGGAATTCTTCATTAGTACCTGCTCTGAATAGCAGATTACCCTTCTCTCCGTTTCTCGTTAAAGAAGTAGGCTGTGGTAAAGAGCATGTTCAGGAACCGATCATTTGTGGGGCCTGGGTATTGGAACAGAAATAGTGAAATGCAAAATAATATCAAAAAGATTATTAGTCCAGGGAGAGTCTCTTGATTTGTATTTTAATGGAATTTTACATTTCTCTTAATGATTTGCAAATTGTCCTCTGATTATAAGATGCATTAAGCTTTTCATTTTAATGGCAAAGACACAGCCATTAGCAGAATTTTTTTTTTTTCTGTCTCCTTTTTAGAGTGCTTCCCTGCAGCAGATAAATATTGAAACCATTAACACCTTTTGATGTTCGTCACAGCCTGTGTCTTGGACCTGCACACAGCTCCCAGTGTCTCTTGGTGTTCATACCTGGCCTGGGGTCCCAGCTCTTTACCTGATGTGTTTCCTTTTCTAGAATACAGGACTCGCGTTTAAGGTTTCATTAGTGGTCTGGTTTATCTGGGTTGGAGCTAGTGCATTTAAATTTCATCCATGGTCCCAGTGGTGTTAATAGAAGCTGAGTTGTCTGTGTGCAGGATGGTGGTCTGCAGGCCTGGAGCCAGGGAGAGCCAGAGGGGTACCCCTGGAGAGTTGGGAAGAGCATCCCCCACCCTCTGACCGCCCTGCAGAGCCCCCAAGCCTGCAGGCCTGGGCTGCCCAGGCTGAGCCCGCTCTACCCTGAGGGCGGGGCAGTTGCCCTTGGTTGGGCCTCTGAAATGATGCCTTGGTTCTCAGGCACGGACGTCTGGTCCTTTCCAGCGTGAGCGTGGTCTCCACGACCAGCCTCTTCTGCTCCATCTGCTGAACATGCTGGGGGTGCTCTGGGTTCTGACCCGGGTGCGGTAGTGCGTTTTGAATCCAGAAGCGCTGCTCCCTGGGATGACTGAGGCTGCCTGCACCCAGCACTTGGTTAGGAGCAAAGCTTGGCTCCAGGCGGAAGCAGCAGCCAGGGTCCCGTCTTGTTCCTGAGCAGCCCCGCGCGCAGGTCGCATGAGCGCGGCCCGGTGCCACGCCGCCCTGTGGGCAGAGCCAGGCCCACGCCGCCCCCACCCAGCCCCGCCGCGGTCTCTCCCCAGCTCGTGTGCCAGGTTCTCTGGCGGCTGCTTGGCCCACCACCCTGGACCGAGCATGCGCAGCCCTTTCCTCCCAAGAGCATGTGGAAGGAAGCGTGGGAAGCATCAGGGCAACCACTTCCCGCTGCCTGGACACAGCCCTCGAGTGATTCTTAATGGTGGTTCCTTTCTTGCATGCTTCAGGATCAGACGTCATTCAGTTCAGTGTATTTATTGAATGCCTTCCCCAGACTTAGATAGTTGTAGCCCTCTTCAAAGTGAAGATGAGTTGCAAGGGGAGGACTCCAGACCTCCCTGTCAGCCCATCCCCCACTGGTCAATGGGGACACAGATGCCTATCTGTTGCAGAGCCCTAGGCCAGACCATGGAGAAGGGAGTTCAGTTGATCAGTCATTCAACAATTATTTATTGAGCTGTAAGCAAAGCCCTCTTTTTGGCTTTTCGAACTTAGAAACAAAGTAAGTTCTGGGCCTTATGAGCTTATATTCTAGTAGGAAATATGTGAGTATGTGTTTATAACTATATACTAGTATATATAGACACATATATATCCCTAGACTATCGGGGAGTGATGTAATTGCTATGAAAAAATATTACCCAGGCCATGGGGAGGAGGGTCTGGGGTGGGAGTGCTAACAGCTCCTTCAGAACGCATGGTCAGGGCTCCACAAGCTCAGAATCCAGATGCTTGGAAATGTTGTCATCTTGCCTCTCTTGTTTTAACAGTTAAATTTCGGGGGGGGGGGCCAAGCCAAAAATTATGTAAATAAATTCCTTTTGAATCATTTTTTTATCATATGAGGAAAGGAGCAGTTTCAAGAGTCTCATTAAGAATAATTGTTAAGTGCGTTATTGACAGATTGGTATTTTCAATTTTTTTTTTATGAAATAGACATCAGACAAAAGAATACTCATTAAGGATTTGTAAGGTATAAATAAAAGAGGGAAGACGCATTTGTGCACCCCCAGGTTGAAAATGGAGCGTGGCCAACACCACTCAGTCTCGTGTGTCCTCCCAGCCACATTGGCCTTCCCCCAGCCCAGCCCAGCCCCATGGTTTGCATTTTTTACATGGATGAAATAATACTGTGATTTGCTTCTTTCATTCAGCATTTCTGTGAAACTCGTCTATTTTAAATCCTATAGAGATACTTTGCTAATTATGACTAATATAGAAAATCTCACCTTATGGGCATGCTGTAATTTTTTCCTATCCTCTGTCACTAGGCATCGGGGTTCTCCTCGTTCTTTGCCTTTTAAACTAATGTTGCTACAGGTACTTTAGTACATGTGTCCAGGTGGCCAGAGGTATAGGCAGAGCCCTGGAGAAGGAGAGCTTCACAGAGTTTACGCAAGAGTTGGTTGTAGAATGCTGCTGTAGGTGAGGAGTGCCATTCTGTGTGTGGGGAACCCCATGAGATTGGCATGGGGCTACTGGGAACTGAGGCTGAAAGATTGCAAGGAGAGTAGACAGCACTGGAAATGGAAATACATGGGAGAGTTAAGGGGAAAAAAGTTCATGTTTATTGATTTTCATTAAAAGATGATTAACTTCAGAATATAAATAAATTTGGGCTTTTATAATATAGAAGTAAGTAACAAAAGGTTGGACTGTGGAAATGGAAATATTCTGCTATCAATTCTTAGATTATGGTGAGCAAGTATCGTATTAATTGAAAGAAGGGTTTGATAAAGTAAAGAAGCATGTTATAAATCCTACAGTGCTGCTAAAAAATAAAACCAAAATGAGTAATTCATAGGTCAGTATAGAAGGTAAAATAGCTAATTTTTAAAGTAATCTAAAAGAAGGCAGAAAAAACAGGGAAAGGAGAACAGAAAACAGCTGGGACCAATAGCAAGTTGGTACTAGATAGATTCAAGTCCAGACATAGCGATAAGGTAGTTTAAATGTAAATGGTGTTAAGGTTCAAATAAAAAGGCATAGACAAACAGGCTGGGTTTAAAAAACCAGACTCACTATTTTCTACAATAAACACATAATTTAAAAGGACAGCTTTCTGTGCAAAAATGTAAGAAAAACAAAGGCATACGTGTTAGAAATAAGTACACTGTCTATTTTCAGTTTATGTAATCATTTATATGCGCTTCCTTGGTGGCTCAGTAGTTAAGAACCTGCCTGCCAATCCAGGAGATGTGGGTTCAATTCCTGGGTCAGGAAGATACCCTGGAGAAGGAAATGGCAATCCACTTCAGTTGTCTTGCCTAAATTCGATGGACAGAGGAGCCTCATGGGCTACAGTCCATGAGGTCGAAAAACACAATTTATCAACTAAACAACAGCAGTCATTTACATGGAATAGCTCATAGAATTTTGAATATCTATTAAAATTAACAAGTAAATCTAACAAGGTTGAGGATAGTTTTAATATATAAGAATTAATTGATTTTTACATAATAAAATTAGGAATAAAATTTAAAACACTGAGTTTTCAAGTAGTATCCAATGTATATTTAAGATTAGCTTTAGTAAAAAGTATGTAGACCTCTCCACTGGACAATATAACACAGGATTGAGAGAAATTAAAGAGG